GCCCCGTGGTCCAGCGGGTCGCCCGCAGGAGTTAGCACCATTCCCCGCTTCCCTCTGGCTGGGCTTACCCTGAGCCCCTCCAGCTTCATCCCCCTGAGTCAGAGGCTAAAATGTGCCTGATAAACCCTTAGCTGGCTTCTTAGGTGACAGTCAAACTCAAAGAAGGTGCCTCTAATATAGGGAGATATATATATCCTGTCCCCAGGACAGCGGCAGGCAGGATTTTATCCAAAGAAGAAAACTTGTTAGGGTTGGGGAGGGGAGAAAACACCCAGGCAAGCTTAAAAGAAAGAGCAAATAGTGCAGCTCCCCCGACACAGGGTGAGCGGGGGCTGTTCCCTCTGCCCAGAGGGGACTCTGAGGCTTTGCCCACGTATGTGCCCTTTCCCGAGCTGCTTCTGCCCTTGAAACATAAGGTCCAGGGAGCAAAACGCATCCCTGGGGAGATCTCCCACCCCCGAGGTGTGTCAGGGCAGCTGGGTGCCCACCAGCACCTCGACCCCCCGGGGCTGGTGGTGGGGACCCCCCCCCTCCTGCCGGTGGGGACCGCGCAGAGCCCACCCCCCAGCACCTGGATGAAGGAGCTGGTCTCCGCGGAGCAGGGAGGACTTGCACTGGCGGTACGCGGGGGACAGAGCTCGGGCACTCACGGAGCCCGTGACTTGCACATTGATCGGCCCCTGCACGAAGCCGGAGCAGCTGGGGCTCTTTACACACCACCTGGTCAGACCTGCAGCCGCTCAAGTGCAGGCGGCGCTTTCATTAGCTCAGTCTCGCAGACGAGCAGTGGGTAAGGGAGCCCTGAGCCCCAGGTGGCTTAAACAGGAGCTGAAAGCAAACCCCTGATGGCTCTGAAGGTTGGGATGGATGTAAAACGAAGCTGATGCTCCATGTGTCCAAAAGAGCTCCGGGATGCTGGGAAGGGTGGGCTGGCGGTGACAGGCGTCGGCAGGACCCCAACCCTCACCCGGGGCTGGGAGACGCTCCTCGCCCCCCTGCTCTTGGCGCTGCTGTGCGCAGCTGCCCCCGCGCACATTATTTACAGATATCTCTCATGCCAGGGACCCGTTCAGGGAAGGATAACAGAAGGAAGCTCTTAGTTACGATCCCAGTTTCCCACCAGAACTGGAGGGGACGATGCTCTCCCGTGGCTCAGTGCTGTGCAGCAGGGAGGAGGAGGAGGAGGCGGCCAGAGAAACGGTGAGCTGCTGGGAAATGGTGAGCTGCGCAGGCTGCCTTGAGCCTTTCTCCACCAGCTGTCAGCATTTCTCTTACTCTTCTAAGGCCACATTACATTTAAGTAGCAAAATTACTCCTTTCCTGACGCAAAGCACAAGCAATGGCAGAAGGCGGCTGTTTGCAGACCCATTCCGTTTTCCCCAACTGCACTGGCCCCTACTTCCATGCCGTCTGCCTGCATTTCTGGAATATTATAGATGCTAACAAATCCAGGCCTGAAGGAATCACCGAGCTTTGTGCATCAAATGAAATTCCCATTGCTGGGAACAAGAGCGCCCTGTGCGTATTGCAGCGCTGACTCCCGGGGAACAGGTATTTTCATCCACAACTCTCTGGAATGGAGCAGAGCAGGGACTCAGGCTCGAGTCTGGGACCCTCTTCTTTTCAAGTAACATAAGTATTTATTCACATCTGCAAATCAGAGCTTTCTCATCCTTTCTCTTCAGTCATTTCCAAATTTCAGCCAAAAGCCACTGCCTTAAATTTTTCCTTCCCGTTTTGCTGGATCAGCTGAGGTACCACAGCTACAGCCCGCACACCCCGGACTCCACAGAGCAACAGCCCACAGGGCAGAAATTTCTCCTGTCGAGAGCAACCCTGGCACTTCAGCCTGAATTTAGACCCCTGCAAAAAGCTGCGCGTTTTCTACTAATGCACCACTCACTGGAGGATTTCTGTGCATTGCACTGTCGGAAGAGATTCCCTGCAGCGACGGGCCGATTGTTATTAACAGCCGCTACAGGAGGAAGCTGGGATACAAAGAAATTATGAAACTGGTTTCCAGAACAGCGGCTGAGCAGCTCTCAGTATGAACCCCTGTCTCAAGTGCGTTATAAACAAGTCATGCGTTTCCCATGCACTGGCCTGAAGATGCCCATTCAGCAGAAACATCAGCCCATGTCCCCCTTCCTCCTCGCTCCATATCCCCCAGCTTTTCTGAATAAAACATAACTTCCAGCTCATAATTAACTGAAAAGTCCCAACAGAGAATGAGAGAGAGAAAAATCACGTTGCTCTGCAGGAGCTGCCCAGGTCCCCGCTGCCCTCGGGGACCTGGGTGTCAGATTGTGGCAGCATCTCCCCGAGCAGATAAGCAACGCGCTCACGTCCTTCACAAAGGAGCATCCTGAAGCCCACCCATATTCTGTAGGAACACCAGGAGGCCCGGGATGCTCCATGAAATCAACAGCCTGAAGATTTGTCAGGACCCCGTTTCCTCCCCGGCTCTGGCTCGGGTGCTCTGTCCCATTTTGATATGTGGGTTTGAGTCCTTCGCTCAGCTTTTGAGATAAATTCACTAAATCAGAGCGCGACTTAGGCGACGTGCTGGAGGGCATGTGGTTTACGAAGAAAAACAGCCCCAAACCAAACAACAGAAAAGAAAACCTGAGGCTGGACCAGGAAAGCCACCTGGGCCGTGCACATCTTCACTCTACCTCCTCGACCACCTGAGCACGAGTTTTTAGCGGGGTAAACCGTAACTTACAATCCAGAGGGACTTCGATGGTGCTGACGAGGTGATGAAGGTAGAGAGCCAGTGCTATTCCTGCGCAGGTGAGGTGGTGTCTTTGCATGACCATTTTGGACGCCTGGGCAGCGTTAGGACCTCGGCTGCGTCCCCTGAGGCGAGCAGACCAGCGGCAAGTGCAGACAGATCCTCAGCTGCAAAACAAACACAACCCCAGCGGTCAGCGAGCCATTTGCAGCTCCATTTCTGTCATCTTCCTTTTGGCAACTGTGGAGGGAGAGGGTTTCCAATCCAACAATATTTGTGCAGAGGGACAGGAGCGTGAATAGTGCCAGAAATAGTTTCCAGGCTCTGGTGACCCACGTACAAGCCCGTGGTCCCTGTCCTCCCAACCCCTGGGTGGCTCTGCTGGCAGAAAAATCGGCCTTACGGGATTATTCGTGCTCAAACCCTGGAGAGACCTCGCGGATGGAAGGAGAAGGGCTGCACTGTCCCCTGGGACTGATGGAAAGTTACTCAGAGCAAGTGCATACAAAAGCCGCGGTCCCCATAGGATAAAATGAAAAAGATGATTTGCTGTTTAAAAAAATAATAATAATTCTATTTTATGCACAAGAAATACCTACATAGCGAACATCCGCTCCCTCCGGCGGGGCACCGGGGTGAGCTCTGCCTGCACGTGCGGCTGCCAAGAGCAGGGGGACCGGCTCCAGAGACCCCCTCGCATACCAAAGAGCCCGTCGCCGACCCGGCACAGCCCTAGCAGGAGTCGGGATGCGGCGGAACCTTTCCCAAGCGGTCTCTAAACGAGCCCGCTTCCCGCCGGGCTCCGGCTGCTTCCCTCCCCGGACGGTCCCTGGTGCGCAGCACTCCGCTGCCAGCCTCCCAGGGGCACCCACCCAAACCTCCTGGGGACTGTCAGGATATCGTCTGCATTTTCCATTCACATACCTTTTATTTTGCTGTTAATGAACCCTAAATGCACATTAAAAAAAGAGTGAAAATGAGGATAAATTACCCTGTCTGTACAACAAAAGCCCCCTTAGAAAGGCTGCTGTGGCGCAGAGGTTGCATCACGGCTGAGTTACAACTCCCTGTAATAGTTATAAAAAAGGGCATCAGCCGTGCAGACAGCTCTCTCGGCTAAGAACAAAAATAACGCCAGGGCAGCAAACAGTGGAAAATCCCCAGCCTTGCTCGGCGCCGCTCCTCGCTGGCCCTCACGCAGGCTTTCGCCAAGGTGGGATGTCGCCAGGCAGGGGAGCGGCGCAGAGGCCATTTGGCGAGCAAGGAGAGCCCGTCTTCACGAAATATAAATAACCGGCTGCAGCTTTGGATGCTGCCACCCCTTCAGCTGTTCCCGAGCCCGCCATGAAGCGATTGCGGGAGGGAGGGGGGACCCAGCACAACAGACAAAACCCGGCGAGCGCGGGGCTGCCGGGGGGCTCCGGGTACCGCAGGGAACGCTGCTGGGAGCCAGCGAGGAGCAGATGTCATGGAAAATAAACAGCCCTGACACATGGCCCGGGAAGCTCTCCTGACCCCCAGACAGGATCAAACCCAGCGCCAGACAGCTTTTAAGGACACCTTTCCCCATTACCCTTATGGGGAACGAGATGTGCTTAATGGTTCCTCCACCCATCCCTCCTCGCTGCCCTGCTCGGGTGCGAGCGGGGTCTCCACGTCCCCGCTCTTTGGCTGAAGCCCAAAGGAACTCATCGTCCCAGCGTGTCCCAGTTACACCAGATGACAGATTGCAGGTTGTGAAGGGGCTTGGAGGGGAGTGTTGCTTTGATCTTTTTTGCTCGTTCTAAGGATTTTCCAATCCAGCTGTTGCAATAAAAATAGTTGAAGGACAGAATAATTATAGGACTGGGCCAGTAATTAAAGTCATGTCCAGGACTTCCGCAGTCCTGTGATCAGGTCATGCCGAACAAAGCTTTCCAAATTATTTCTTTAGCTTTCTGTCTAAGGGAAGATATCATTTTGATCTGTAGCCTTCATTTTTCAG